AGATTTTTCGACGTTCCACATTCATTTTTAATGTTATTTTAACCTAAAAATATTTATTTTTATGAGTTATCTCAAAACTAAAATAAATTTACACTCGAAACACGAAAATTATTATTTTATTCCTTCAAACCACTCTATGTACTAAAAGACTATTCCAAGCTTTTTCGGATCTCCCAGGTTCAAAGATAATATTATTTTGACCTAAAAAAATATATTTTTACTTAGTTACCCTTATCAACCTTAAACACCTCCAAAAATTAAATTTAATCATTAATTTGTCTCCCTAGTATTTATTCATACTATTGAAATCTATAGGGTTCATGCATACCTCATCACCTATATTAGCATTTCAAAAATAATTACTTGCTATATAAAGATAAGAGTGTGGGGGTTTATAGGAGGAGTGCACAAAGTTTGCTCAAACGGTCCTTCAACGTCGCTCGAGCGATGCTCATGGTCACTCGAGCGGTGTTGCTTCTAGACATGTTTGAAACGTGATTTTCATTCCAGTGCCAACTACCCTCTCACTGATCGAGTTTTAGTTTGCGAATCTGAGAATTCTTATTTACAAATACTATCCTTATTCCGGACTAATAAATATGGAGAGCCTTTCCCACAACTAGGTTAAGCCTCTTGTGAGATTTCTAAGAGAGAAACCTTGAGAGCTTCTACCAGTAACCTAGATCTCTAAACCTAAAGGCTACCACTAGAGATTCTACCCAACCTTACAACTTGATGTTGACGATCTTGATGGTATAGAACCAAACCCATTGGTTTGTACATACTGGGAGTTGTTGATGTGTCCATGATTGCTCGAGGCCTAGATAAATCGTGAAGTGGGGAGGTCCAAGTGAAGCTGCGCTAGACGTCGAAGGAAAGCCTTTTATAGAGAAACAACAAGGAAAAGAGTATCTGATCATGGTATTGGTTGAACTATAAGACTCAAGTACTTGTATCTCAACTTACTGAGTAGTAGATTAGGTTTTAGTGAACCCCCAGTCGTTCTCCACGATTTTTTCCAATGGTTTTTTGCGTCAATAAATCACTGTGTTATTTTTTGTTTATTATATACACTTGTGTTTGTTAGCACACATGTGCACAATGTGTTTGATGGAATGATTGACTGATTATCTATTCATCCATAGTCGTGCATTGGGTTTAAGCTTTGGGATCACCAAAAAATTGATTGCTTGATCGAATTAATAGAAAATTAATTAGCAACCAATCGTCATGGTTAAGATAAGATGTGGTGATTAACGGGATTTTCATCATTAATTGTAATATTTGATTAAGAAGAGGTAATTGTGATTTATTAGGTTTTGATTGGTAATCCAAACCAGGATTAGATTCTTGTAAGGCTTTGTAAAATCCCTCCTAGAGAAGGTGAATAGAATAATATTCTCTTGCTAGTACAAGAAAATTCACCCCATCTCTTTATATCTCTCTTTTTACTAGTTGATCAATGGTTAAGGTAGATCTTTTAAGTTTGTCAATTCGTGTGGATAGTAATAGAGGCCAAATAATTGTGAAGCTCGGGGTAAAGATCAAAGAAACTTAAAGATTGTTAAAAACACGCTTCAAGAGGTAACATTTGATCTGCTCTATAAATCTAGGGTTTTAAGTTGTATTAAACATTGTCCAAAAAAAATGAAAAAGTTGTATTAAACATGAACAGATCTTGCAGTAAGGAATCAAATTATTTTTAATTCCACTACGTTTCTTTACATGATTTATTTGGTGATATCAGAGTCATTATTCATGATTTAATATAAACTCGATGTGATTATTGTTGTGACATGTTAATGGCATAAACTGAAAAATACCAGGGATTGCACAACTTGCATAAATCATATTACTTTGTGAGAATTTCTTCAAAATAAATTCTGATTTTTTTCACATGTTTAATATGAGATATTAATGGATCCATATGTTTGAAATTATTTTAAAATTAGATTTTAAAATTGAAGAATACTAGTTACAAAAACTAGAAATAATTTTTCCTTAAAAACTAGTTTTTTATTCGTTCCAAGTTCGAGATTGAATCAACGGTGGAACGTTTCAAATCTTTGGTCGAAGGGTGGCTAGCATAAAGGTTTTTCATCCAATCATGGCTTATGGGCAGTCAAGACGACCTTCCATGGTAAACGACAAGGGTGGTCTTGAAGTAGACCTTTAAATACTAGTCCATCATGTTCTTGAAAAGTTCTTGAAATCTTATTTTGATTTGCTCCAAATTTTTGTTCAACATTGGTTTTAATTTTGTTTTTGAAATATTAAATTTAATTTTAATGTTTTTCAAAATTAGATTGGACAAATATTAAATTTGTGAAGTTTCAAAACTTAATTATGTTAAGGACTCTTGGCTTGTTCAAGTTGGATATAACTAGGTGTCCTATTTAATTTTTTTCAACTTCCCTAAAAATTAGGAGATTGTCTTCTAATTAATTGAGGATATAATATTTTAATTAAACTAAGAGATTACTTTCTAATTATATCAAAAGATTATCTTTAAATTAAATTTAGAATGTTGTCTTATAACTAAATTAAGAGATTGTCTTCTAGTAATATAGGAGATTGTCTCCTAATCAATTAAGATATTGTTCTTTAATTAATTTAGAATATTGTCTTCTAACTAAATTAGGAGATTGTCATCTAATTAAACTAGGAAATTATTCATAGTTAAATTAAGATATTATTTTTTAGTCAAATTGGGATATTGTATTCTAATTGAATTAAGATATCATATTCTAATTGATATGGGAGAAAATTAATTATTGTGATAAGAAAGCTCCAACAACGCTCTACTCTTTAAAATATTATTGTTAGCAAGACAACGGAGCTCTAACATTACTGGGGAAGCTTGAGGCAAGCCTGATCATAGTAATAAGATTTCCTTTATGTAGAAAACACGTAAAAGGGATTCTAAATATCACGGTATCTACAATTCAAAAGTTAAAAAGCCTCCAAAAGGTCAATAGAACATATACATGAGATAAGCAATTAAAAGATTGACATCCCTCAATTCAAAAGGGTGCCTTTCTATCAAGTCTATCTAAGCTTCAAAAGACTCCCACATTAGGAAGAGTCATTCCCACTAATCGAAGAGATAGACTCTAACCAAAACGAGAGTCCTTCAAAGATTAGAGAGGTAAGACTCCACAAGGTAAAAGAGACTCAACCTCCCAGAACAGTCGAAGGTACCTAGATCCACTCCTTACCCACTATTCATCAAAAAACACTATAAAAGGAAGCCTGAAGGAAGACCAAAGGTATGCAAGAACTTTCCTAGTAAATAACTTGAGATCCCTTCCAATAACACTTACTTAAGCAATGGAGGGTCAATCCCCCAAACCTCCCCTCCGGTCTCCAACTTCCTTTTCAAGTATTCAAGCTTGCAGTACCCCCATTCGAAGTCCCTTAGAGCTGAATCTATACTCTACTAACTTGTTCAAATCACTTGGAAGGGATACAAGGATCAAGGAGATCAGCTCATCAGCTTGCATAGAGGTTGGAAAGATTTCTGCACCAACGGTTTGGCACTGTATGTGGAAACGACTGCATATTTTCGACATTTTCTACAATTCACTAAGAGAAGATGGTTGATGGTGATTACTAGATCAATAAATGTAACCAAAGATAATCCCTGAGAGAGCAAAATTTGCAAGGAATGAACAAATGAGATAATCATGATAAAGGACCTCCACAGGCCAATAAACTACAAGAGGCCCAAAGAGTACTCAATTTGGAAAGAAACTGCAACAGACTGTAAACCAAACCATTGAAAGCTTTGCCCAACAAAATCAACAAATCCTTCAAGCCCTTGCTAGCCAACATCAATAGCCGCAACAAGTCTCTCATTCAGAAGAGACTCCACACAACCCAGAAAGAGATACAGAAGAACACAGTCAGAATGATACTTTCCATTAGCCAGAAGAGAATAAGCATTTCTGGACCGAAAATTCAAGGAATTTAATGACCGAATTGGCAATGTTCTTAACACTGTCAAAACCAGAGCTCCGAAAAAGTTGTAACTCTGATCAAACGCTTGAAATCTCCGTTCACACACTATCCACTGTTATCAAAATTCAAGTTGCCTTCAATAGTTAGTTTTGATGGAAAGAAGAATCCATTAGATCACATAGAAACCCATAAATCTTTTATACCACTCCACAATATCCCAGATCAAATCATGTGTAGAGCATTTCATTACCACCCTCAATATAGTAATTTTTAATAGAATAAACAATAAAAACTAAGAAAAATATCACATTGTAACACTTTACTACTAAGGGTGCAATATGAAAAGTTTAATTTTTAAAAAAACAAAGTGAAAAATCTTAAACCTTTCGAGGTGCAAAATGCAATTCTCTCAAATTCATATTCAATACCTGAGGACCAAACTAAAGTCATGAAAACACTGGACACTAAAATAACACAACCCATACATTAGATACTATTTTGCCATACTAAACGTCCAAATCAAGACTAATGGCTCATTATATCTAAATATAAAGGCTACAACTTCCAATCCAGACCATTTAGTACTACACGATTCAAAAATTAAAGTTGACTTCACCAAATCAAACCAAAAATAACTTGACCCACCAGGACGAATTATAAAGATTAGTATTATACCAAAATCTAATTTATCAACAATCCAAAACCCACAAGCCCAAAAAATTCAGCCTACGACTCTTCACAGCATTTTCAATGACATAACATAGCCATATACTATTATGGTCCAAGTTCCCCGCTACCAGCACCTACTATTCTGTGTTCCCCCGTCGGTTCATGAATGGGCCTTCTGTGCTACAAACAAAAGTCGAGTTGTGATATCCATGAAAGTTCAGCTAATTAGGCACAATACATCACCTGAAACAGTATCATAAAAGCATTATAACAATCCTAAAAAGTCACAAATAGACTTGAAGACACTAATACCAGAAAAGCTGATAGTAATATCTGTTTCAAGTCCAACATCTCCTAGAAAAGCAAAATGTTCAGCGATGTGTGCCATACATCTGGCTTGAGTCATACTGAGGATAACCAGGCTGAGGTGACAAACTTTTTCCATAACCAACAGGCGCACTAGCAGTAACACTTCCATAACCACCTGATTGTGGGATGGATTGATCATAGCCCGGCTGAGTTGGAGTTGGTTGACCATAGCTGGGCTGTCCACTAGGTGCTGCACCATAAGCCGAACCTGCACCACTACTATAAGCTGGATCTGCCTGCCCTTGATAGCCATAACCTGCATTATTTGGAACCGGTAGTTCACTGTAACCTGGTTGCGAGGCTGGGTATGAACCATAGCCTCCAGTTGGTCCCATCTGAGCATAACCAGGTGCCTGCTGACCACCGGGGTGACCATATCCAGAAACAGGTGGACCACCTTGCTGGGGATAACCAGGGGCAGATGCTGTCACTGGTGGTGGCTGATTATACCCATCAGCAGCAGGTGCAGCACCGAACTGAGAATATGGTTGCTGCATTGGACCACTTGACGCATAAGGATATGGCTGTTGAGGTGCTGCATTCGAACCATATGATGCAGTGTGACCTTGATAAGGCACATCCCCAGGTTGATTAGCCCGAGGCTGGCCATAAGGTTGAGAATGGTGCACTTGCGGCGGCATACCATAGGATGGCGGCTTGCCATACTGCTCCTGCGGACCATAGCTTGGATGCATTCCACCTTGGGGGTAAACCGATGACTGAGAACCCCCATGTCCTCCATATGGATGGCTTTCATATTTTGGCTCACCGTATCCATGCCCATAGCTCTGTGAAGAAGGGGCAGTCTGGGAATAAGGAGTTGGCTGCCCATAATCTGGACCCTGTGGCTGCCCATAATTGTAATTTGTCTGGGAAGGTGGACCCATGGCAGAGGCAGGAGAAGGGCTGGGACCATGAGTATGGGCGGGATTAGATTGCGGGCCGGATGCTGGGGCATTGGCTGTGTGGCCTCCTTGACCGGCATAGTAGTCATAACCACCAGCCTGAGGAGGCCCCTGCATTGTTGATGGAGGCCTTTGATCCCAACCCGGACCAAAGCTGCTTCTTGGAGCTAAATGTTGTGGAGGATAGTTACCATATGATGGTGGTCCATACTGTGGATTCAGAGATGGATATGGTCCTCGTTGCTGATAATCATAGCTGGCTGGCTGAGCAGGATGAGGACCTCGGGATCCCCATTGAGGAACAGAAGATCCACGGGGACGAAAGCCCTCCTGATTGTAACCACCAGAAAGAGGCGATGGCCTTACAGGCTAGTCAAATGAAATCGTAAGGAAAAAAAGAAAGTCAGCAACCTCTTACTTAATATCATTCAATATAAAAACAATGAAATTAAATCACAACCGAAACGAAAGTAGTGTTTCTCCTGGGTTATCCACTGCTCCTGCCCAAAAACTGTGGACCATGATGCTAAATTGGAAAGATAAACCATATACGAGTATCAATATATTCAGCATATGAAGAGGTGAAACCATAAGAAACAGCTCAATTGCAAAGGCAACAAGCATATACCAAAACTATGGAGCATAAGGCTTGTCAAAGATAAACCACATACAAGTAGTAATAGGAATGAGTTAAAACAAGGTAACACATGAAGAACTGAAACCATAAGAAGCACTAGTACAGCAATGAAGATATTCTCACAATACATTCACTCAACCAGTCCAAACATGCCCAGAAAAATACAACCTAAGTCATCAAATGAGAAGAGAGAAATAAATTATTTACAGAAGAGTAACAGCTCATTTGCAAAGAATACGACTTCAAAAGAATGCAATAAATATGAAAAACTTATCAAAATAGATACCATGTCACATTCACACAGATAGAGAACCCCTAACCCAACATATAATGCTTCCTCAGTTCCCAGCCACCAAAAGAAGGCAAATTTCTACATGACAAATATCCAGGCAAGCTAACATCATGTCTGTCCACACCCTCAATCAATCCATCGAGTTTTCATAAAGAACTCCCACCATTCCAATTTTCAAGTTCCCTAAGAAGGCCAGTCATTGAATTAGAAAATGGAGCACCAAGCATTTGGCAAAAAAATTACAATCACTGCCTCAGTTATGACCTTTTCTGATGAGCAGTAGAACTTTTCTTGAGATTCCTACACCAGAACACCAGCCACCCATTTTTGAACAAGAGTAATTCAAAAAGCCTTCACGAAATGAGGAAGTTTTCACATGAATTCCTAAATAGGAAAGAAATATAGCTTCTGATCCAAAGTCATTTAGCATCAAAGTAGAAACTCAACGTTATGCATAAATTGCTGAAGGAAACGACTGGCCAGATCATACATCAGAACATCATGCTATAATACAAATCACCAGTACAAATACTGGGTTTCAAGTTGAGACTCGAAGGGATTTGATATGAAGCTCAACATAGATGTTGTCAAGGCATGTCAATTTCAAAAGAGGCTTAATGATCCTAAAAGGGGGAAAATGCGATGGATACCAATCAATCATCAACAGAATTGGGCGATTATTTGATTGGATACTAGCTTTTGCAAGAGTCTTATGACAACAGAATACCAATATTAGGTCACGGAAAGAAGCCAAAAGTTTCCACATCTCATCAACTCATGTAATCTATTGAGCAAATTTCATCATGATATATGTCATATTCTTGTACTATATTATCCTTTTAAAACAATGATTTCCGAAGGGCATGTACCACATGGTTCAAATGTTTCAAGACAATATTATACCAAATTTGGGTAGGCATCCTATACAAGCTTCAAACATGATGGCTTGATCAGGCATGACATTTTCGTCCAACAAATGTCTCATGCATAGAACAAGGGGATGCCAGAGAGCACTAAGGTTAATGTAATATATCGTTACTAATGGTATTAGTTTTAGTTTCTAAGTCTCGAAGCAATCTTACCAACTATTCACATCCTGCAATCGCGAGGGTTAATGCTTGATACCTCTCTTCGGTGGATGCGAATGAATAGTAGTTGTTTATTGCTACACCAAGAAAGCAATGCTGACCCCATGTGAAAGGCAGAAGCCCAATCTGCATTTTTAAAGCCAACCAATTCGAAACTGGCACTTTCAACATAAATAAATCATGGCAACCGACATCTCATTTGCATATAAGATCTTCCTAACTGCATTCAAGTGACCTTGGCATGGTTCATAAATGAATATCACAAACTCTCACGAGTGTTGTTCAAGTAATTAAGCTCCACTCCATATTATAGATAAAAAGGTGTCACTCGAGCATCACAATATACATTAAACATTGCAGCATAAGCAACCATCCGCAGAAGTATATCATGCTTATAAATTACATATTGCTTTGGCAATAGAATAGCTGGTTCGATGAAAAAACCATTAGCCATCAGCTTAAGCAAAACATGACCAGTAGTTTAATATTGCGGAGGGTTGTTAGGCTCTATTTCACAAATACAATTGAGTCTAGCTCTAAAGACTTGGTAAAACAGCCCAGCATCAAAATTGACATTATAATTTATTGGTCTTAGTATCCCTCATTATCTAACCAAAGTAGCAATAGCTTTCACTCACGTGTAATTTTCTTACTTGGAAAAGACTGAAGATTAAATTATGAGCTAATACCTATGAAACATTTAACTAATCTCCCTAGCTGGTACGTCGACTCTAGTGATTACTTGGCATTAAAAATTCCTAGCAAGACATGTTCTACTAAGCTAAAAATTGTTTTATCAATAATGCTATGTTGACTAATGGCATACAAATCTGAAGTTGAATGTAAAATACACAAGCTCCCATATGTCTATAGAAACATATTTGAACAACACACAGGGCACTCGATGGCAGAAAATGAGATTATTTTGGCAAGGGTAAAAGGTTGGCCCAAGTTATAGTGCTACACATGATATTTTTAACATGCACCGACAATTCAGGTGAACAAAAGAACAAATTAATTCTGAAGGAATACTTTTTTAAAGACTACAAATAAGAACATTAGGCACAAGATCAGAAATTACTTCTGCTAACCCTCACTCTCATTTTATTGCTAGCTACATTATCCTAAACAAAACTGCTTCTACACTGTTACAGATACTCAGAACTAAGACTTGCGCTCCAAAAAATAAATTCAGGCTTAGGAGTCATTTATAGGAAACACCAGTCGCACCCGGATTAAAATTTCATTTTAAAATCCACCATTTCCTGCATAGGAACATACTAAGAACACTTTCAATCTTTCAAATGAACAATAAGAAAATCAGTGTTAAACAGTAAAAATTTGATGCTCGCAGCAATTAATCCAAAAGAGATGGTGGAACAAACCTGATTCATGACTTCCTTTATCATCTCTCTTGCCATCTCAATCTGCCTCATGTCACCAGTCACACGAACGGTCCTTTCTTTAGATTGGTCTCCTTCAGGAAGATGTTGTGGTATCAACTAAAAATATGGGACTGTCAGTATTTGTTTAAAGTAGCCATCACCTCTTTTAGGAATCCTTTTTTTCTTGTCAATTCCTTCGAAGTTTACATACATTTCAGAGCAAGGCATACGATATCAACTACCTGAATGCGTGCCCCTGATCTTGTCTGTAGGTTTTTTATAGTCTCACCGCCTTTCCCAATGATTAAACCAACCTAGAGAAGAAGGAAAATTCAAATAAACATGTTATGGGTATACCTAATCATAGAGGGGGGAAAAGAGAAGCTTTGTACCTTCTCATTTGGGACTTGTATTTGGATTTGCTCTCCAGCTCCAACAGCCTGCACAGTACTGAAGCCCCTAGCCACAAGGGAAGGGGAACCCCCCGCGTCAGCCTACAGAATAACAAAGTCAGCTTTAGCAAATGCAAACACAGGGCTACAGGTGCCCCCAGATACTATAAACTGGTAAACTAAAACACAAAATCGTGCAACGGGCGGAGGAAATAACAGCATAAGAAATCGAAGACCCAAAAACAGCACAGAACCTCAGCAATAACATCCTTTATCAGTTTCTCAGCCTTGTTTATACTTTCCAAGGTTCCTATTACTTCGACAGGCCTGGTGGTGGAAGATAGATCAGCGTCAGCATCTCTCATGATCTGAATCTTTGCACCTGAGTTCAGCTGCAGGAACCGGATAGTATCCCCAGCTTTGCCAATAAGAACCCCAACCTGCACCAAATTTTTCACAACCTTCTGTAAGGCCAAATAAATACCTCTTTACAAGGACATTTATACAGTGAACACATGCCAGTGTTGTATAATGGGACACACAGATGTGTATAACCTGTCTTTGGCACTTACAACAGTTGAACCAAATAACTCACAATAGGATTTTTGTTTCCTTGGTTGGTTCCTTAGGTTGTTTTGTCTTCTCAAGATGTTAGATATTTCAGCAGAAACCAACCAATGTTCATCCAATTGATACTTGTACTAGGATAACCAATATAGCCATCAATAAAAACAGTCACCTCAAATCCTAACGACTAACACAGTTACCACTCTGATCCACAAAATAATTCAGCACCACATACACATGGAATAAAAAGCGACGAGTTCAAAACTTTGAAACTAAAGCATATACTATTGAAACTAGAGCCTACGTAGCATCACATTACATGCTAAAGCATATGTAGTGAGTGGGGTCATATTGTGACAGTACAATTTAGAATGGTAAAACTATGGTTCTAAGCTTTGGCAAAAGAACTTCTAAAAAATGGACTCTAGGCCTTGGTTAAAGGATGTCCCAAAAAAGTGATTTGTTCCATTAGAGCTACTTTGATTATTACAACCAAAAGAAGAAAAAAGTTCCATTTTGTTCATTGAGCACGATAAACAAGTTAATAACTCACTTCTCATTAAGAGGCCATTAATTACCAAATACTTCATAGCTACATCAGATCTAATATGCAACAAAGAGTCAACATTGACATTGGACCTCCAATCAGAAAACATTTTACTTTCACCAATCTTTCTATCTCCCAATATATACTCCCAACCCAACACAAACATACAATTGTTCTAAAACCAGTACTTCCATCGACAAATCAAAAGATTTCTGTTAGCTACATCATATTGCTAAACAGGAAATCATTCCATTATCAAAATCCAAAGGACAACCACATTTAAAACTCAATTCCGAAAAACAAGGAAAAGGGGAGCAAAAAAAAGTGTTTCTCCCTTCTTTGGATAGAGGCATTTTGGATGCAGCAAATATTTAAGTTATCAATTATGATAAAAGGAAATATTCTCTTTTCCAGAATATTTCATAGAAACATCTAGGCAAGAATCCAATTAAGCACCAAATAATTTAATTAATTGACCTTGTTATTAGGGACCTCCATTTTGCGTGACATAGTTGGACTCTCGGATAATGGTGGCTGTTGGCTTTCCTGTTCTGTGGAAGAAATGTCTTCTAGTGGTAAAACCTCAGTGGAGGGTTCCTGAAACTCCCCTTTAGATGGTTCTTGTTCCTCGTCCTTCTCCAACTGAAGTTTCTCCTTCTCATCAGAGGACTGAAAGTCCTCTGACTCATGGTCATTGGCGGCAGGTTGTTCACTGTCCTCCTCTGTTTTTGGAGCTTCTTTGACTGATTCTTGAGCATCTTCTGATTGAACAGCATTCTCAACTGCTGGCTCTTCAGCATCCCCCTCCTCCTGGGGCTTATCCACCTTCTCCTCTTCGTATCCATTCTCAGTAGCTTCTACAACCCAAATGAAAAATAACAGAATTATTGCCATATTTGAACCCTCTTTTTTTGCTGAGCTGTTATATGAAGAAAATCTACAAAATTCATAGTAAGCCTGTATAAGCATCATGGGATTAAGCCTGGTGCTATTAACATATTAACTGAAGCACTGTTTTAAGTTCCACTTGTGCCTCTTGTCACATTTCCGTATTGCTTATATATACATAGAGCAAGGAAGATATGTAGTATATACACAACCTAAAGGGTGTGTTTGGGTAGTGGGTTAAGGTGGGTTAACAGCCATAAGGATAGCTTAAAAATGAAGTGGGTCCCATATATCCACTGTTTGGCAACTAAAAAATGAGGAAGGTTATGAATCCCGGGTCAACCCTTGACCCGGATGCTACAATAGAAATTATTCAATATACATGGGTTAACTGTAACCCACCCCTCCCCTGGGTTACAATCCCACCCACCAGGTTAACTAAGTTAAAAGACGGACTTACCCCTATCTATTTCTTTGATATTTTGCTACAGCATAGCAAAGGATCATTCATCTTCGTTCAAGCAGCTCAACTCCAAGCAGGTCACAAGCAACTGCAATTGAGGTAAGCGTCTTCTCATCGACTCTCTGCATATCTACCTCTTGTCACTCTCATTGACTCTCTCTAAGTCTCTCACTCATATTGACTCTCTCTCATCTCTCACTCACTTCGCCTCTCTCTCAATCTCTCACTCAAAACTCTTTATCAGGGTCACAAGTAAGGCCGCCTCTCTCTCTCTCTCTCTCTCTCTCTCTCTCTCTACTCACTTGAACACAATAATGGGTTTCGTATAGTTAGAACTGCGGTAGCTCATTTTGGAAGATATTACCAGTAATTTTATTTACTCTCATTCCTGTGTTTTGTAGCCAGAAAAAGAAATTGTAGAGAGAGAAACACAGAGGTGGTACTGGTTTATGTATTATTTGGGTTATGTTCTTGTACTTATTATTTGTGCTGGGATTTTAGGGATTTTATAAATTTAGGTCTCATTTACAAGAATTTGTGGTATGTTCTATGGTAGCTTTGGCTTGTGGTTGTGGTATGTTCCATTATGGGTTTTGACTGTATTTGGTGACAAGTTTTCGGAAATTGAGCAAGAGGGTGTGTTTGTTTTGGTACATGATCGTGAGGGGCCAACAAGGTAGCTTAGTGTGCTAAGTGGTACATGCGAGTCTTAAAGGTGTAAGAGTAAGGAAGTGATAGTGTTGTGGCATTGTTGATTGTACTCATTGCGACGCCATTTTTAGCATTTTGTTGTGATGTTTTATTTCTTATCGTGAAATTTCAAATCTTTAGGGAATAATTTTGTTGGTTGGAGTTGTATGGGAGTTCTTTGACGGAAGTGATAGAACTTGGGTATTCGTGAATGTGAAAAAAGGTTGCAAAGAGATTTACAAGGACTGCTGGAATGCTGTTCTACAACAGGATCAAGTTTGGTTCATGTGTATAGGAGGCAAACTGCGTTGCTGATTTTTTGGCAAATTCGGCTGTCAAGCAGATTTGGTATGCTGATTTTTTCCCTCCACTTGGTCATTCCATTGCAGGCAAAGCTGCTGATATTACAGGATCAGGAAGGGGTTAAGACGTTTAGGAAGAAGATTGTAATTCTTTGATTCTTTTGTATTTTTCCATGACTGATAAATGGGGTTTGCTTCTTGTAATTTTTTTGGCAAATGAAATAAAGTATTGATTTGTTTAAAAAAAAAATAAAAAAATATTATGCTATTATGTATTAATGCATGTTAAAAGGAGGTTTTGTAATCAAGCGTTTGTTGCTGCATTGGTTTTTTTTTCAAATTAAGTCTTAGAGACTGCTATTATATTTTCGTTGTTTTGGTTGTTTTATCATATTGTTTTAAGGCAAGGTTGTTTGCCTTTCACCCATTGTAATCAACTTTTAAAAAATGAAATAAAGTGTTGATTTGTTTAGAAAAAAAATACCATATATATATATATATATATATATTATAACTTTCCTTATTTTTATATATTTTTATGTATATGTAGAAAATGTATAATTTTATTAGGCTTGGATGAGTTAAGCAAACAAAGGATAGGATTGGTTTGGATTAGAATGGATAGAGTCAAGGGTAAATTGGTAAATTACTACAAAATTATTTGTGTAATCTATGGGGCCCAGAATTATACATTTGTTTCCCAAACAAAGGTTAGGATTAGATATAATCTTGGGTTAGGGTTTTAAAGTGGATGAGGGAGTTTGGCTTGGATTGGTTAGGATATAAAAAAAGAAAACCTACCCTATCCCACCCCATTACCCAAACACACCCAAAATATATTGGCTCATCTTGCCTAAAAGATGAAGCTGCAAAGCCATAGCGGGACTTTAAATTGGAATTCTTACTCAATTCCAATTCAAAGGCCCCAGTGTATGCTGCTGAGCTCAGCAATACTGCAATCCAAAAAAATTGACTTTAACCTCATGAAAAAAGCTTTCCGACAGACCACGCAGCAGCATTGTGTGTGTCGGAAATTTTTTTTTGTTTTTTTTTTTTTTTGGGGGGTGGAGGGGAGGGGGGGTGTTGTATCTATATAATACGTGTTTCTAGCAGAGGGGTCAGGAAAATGCATACATAACAAATATACATGCATCAAGATATGCATATAAAGTATAATAACTCCTAATCCCCAACTCAAAAAAGTAATGCTAACAACATCTTTCACTTAGAACCACCTGACCCATGTTCGTATATATTTTCGTGAATTTCAATGTTTACATTTCCAATTTATGGTCCCTACAATTACTACTCCCAGGATTTGAAGATGACTTCAATATTACACGCGCATACACACCCGCATGTATGCAAGTATTTATGAATGTGGGTAAACCCTATACACAGATCGAATGTGTGTTTCGCTGCAAGCCCACCGACAAACCACATTTCTAAAAGTTAAATCACACAATATGTACATAGAAAAAAGATTCAAGAAATACCTTGTCGATCGGATTTACTGTCCTCCAAACGAGGTCGTTTTGCCTCGGACCCACCAGTAATTACACTCTCCTCGCAGTCGTCGGCTTTTTCAACGGAGTCAGATTCCGGGCTGACATTCAAGTCGGCTGTTAACGGCTGAGGAGCATCGGGCTCCAAATCCTCCAGCTTCCGCTTGTGATCGGACGGCACAGGGCTGGCTGATGCCGCAGCCGCAACAACCTCTTCCTCCGCCATTAGATCAGAGTGTGTCCGTACTCTAGCTAGGGTTTCCAAAAGAAAACACAGGAATTAACCGTAACAGAGGATTTTTTGTGGAGAAAAAACAGTGTCCAGCTGTTGAGATGACTATTGGGCATCCGCAGGCTCTTTATTTATAATGTTTGGAGGTGGAGACCTGCAGAGAGATATTATTCGTGAATCTTGATTAGGGTTTGCTGCGAAGCGGGCTTGGTGGTCCGGACATGGTTGGGTAGCCCATTAGCCAAGAATTGGGCCCACAATTTTAGGTTTAATAACGACAAGTTTCAAAAGGCTAAGATCGTTTGAATTCTTCGCTTAAATTTTGTTTATTTATTAATTTACTAGAGGTAACCTATGTTTCGGTGACAAAAGTTGGTAGTAACTCAATTAAATCTCTTTATTTGGATGGCTAAAACTTAGTAAAAAAAGAAGTTTGTGTGTGGTGCGTGTGTTGTTTGGGGAAGACAGGGAGAGGGGGCTTATAGCTCTATGGAAAAACTTATGGCATATAAGAGAGAGAACAAAAAAATAAGTGTTGTTGAGTAAAATTGTAAGTTTTCCTTTTCAAAAAAAAACGAAAATAGCTTCTAGTTTTTATTATAAAATTTGATTCCAATCCAATTTTTTGGGAGGCTACGTATCAAATCTAGCTAAATCACTTGTAAAGATTTTGTTTTTGCATAGTAGAGAACCATTCCAAATATAGACTCTTCAAATTCATGTCTTCAAAAAAATGAAATAAAAATAAAAAACATGTTTGGTAAGTATTTTGATTCATATCATAACTAATCCAAGTATTTCCATTATTCATTCAAACAAAACTTATGCTAGAACTCGAAAACTAATAACATTAGTAGCATCAATTAAAACATCTCATACTTTATAATCATACAAATACAAACACTGATTTATATTCTATTCTGGTACATAATTAAGAGAAATAATAACAATCAACAAAATAGTAAGAAAAATAATATAAAACACAAAAGGACTTCACATCCACCACAATATGCAAACATCAACATTTTTAGAAAATGGTAGTTATGGTGGCAGTGACAATTGTGGGGTGATTGGGGGGGGGGCAACGACATTGGTGGGGGTAGGGTGATGTTGGTGGCAACAGTGGTGGCGGAGATGATGATACTGGTGGTTTGGTTAAGGTGGTAACAAGGCAATTTTGTGGTGGGGGTGGTTATGGCGGTGACGACAAAGTTGGCAAGGGTATGTGTGGCATTGACAATGGTGAAGGTGGTCATGGCAGTGACAATGATGGTGGGGCGACAATCTCAGTGATGGTGGTAGCAGCGATAATAGCAAAAAGGGTGGCAGGGACTGTGGGGAGGTAGTGGGGGCAGGGTGTTGTGGCAACGAGTGTGACGATGATGGTGGTGGTGATTTTAAGGATGTTGTGTTTTGATAACATCGAAGGGGTGGACCCAATTAAGCACGATGTGCATTAACGATTTTGTTGATTTTTGAAAACCATGTTTTTTTGTTTCTAAAAGTGCACTTAGCTTCAAAAAAATTTCATAAGGAAAATATAGTTATGAAACATGTTGTTTACAGTCTCACACAAACTGAAGATGAAAATGGAAAATTTGAAAACAAAACAATTACCAAATGGGCTTATAGTAGTCACAATCATATTCGAAAATGCAAAAATTACGTGTACCATATAAAATATAATAATGTCAATGAAGGGGCACATAATAACTGCACATGATTAGAACATTTAATGATTCAAACTGGTACAAGCACGTGACATAAATGTTGAATTGACAGCCTTGGCTAGGTTGAGAGGTCGGTAAATCAAGCATTGGGCTGGCCTATCTGACAAAGCCGAACCAAGCTATCTTATGGTTTTTTGGTCGATAAAGACAACGTATAACTTGTCGAGCCGAGTAAAGGGATCACCTAAAGGAAATCGAACTGAGAATAGATCGGTTAACCCAAGGACTACAAAACAATGTGGAAAAGATAAGAAAGTTGTCTAAGTTATAGGTGAACAGAATAAAATGTGGCATAAAGACTAGGCAAATCAGGAAGACTCCAATATCAATTACAAGAAATTTGTCTCATACAAAGGTATGTCACCATGCCTAATTATAGAAACCCTAGTGGAAAGGGTGTGAAACCCGAGAAACATTTAAACTTTTGAAAACAAGGGCAAAATGGTAATTTTGTAGCTACACTACAGGTCAAAAATCTGAAAGTTTTTGGAACTCGGATGATGAAACGGACTTCACCGTTAGATTCGTCTCGCGAAATTTAGTTACTCTGTCAAATTTTATCGAATTCTGAGATAGTCAGATTTTTCGTGTTTTTCAAGACGGTTGAGTCTCGGATGACCCAAAAATGGGATTTTTGGCAAAAATTTTAAAATTTGGAAAATAATTTGAGGTAATTTAAAATAAAAATATGTTAAACTTAAATCAGGACGAAATTTAATTGTTTTGGGTTTAAAATGGACCAGGAAAGAATGGGCTGTGTGGTGCATTGTAAGCCAAGGATTTTGGGACTATAAAAAGGGGAAGAAATCAAACTTCTTTCCCACCATTGTCGGCTGGTCTTCATGTTAAAAGAAAAGAGAGAGCAAGAGAGGAAAAAATAAGAGAAACTCACCTTCTCTCTACGATCTACGGCGCTACGATGCTCGAATCGACACAAGCCAAGAATTAAAGTCCATTTACGCGACAAGGGCTACGTGTGGGTACCAAAAACAATGATTTTCACTAAAAATTCAAAGGCAAATTTTTGGAAAATCAAGAACTTGGGGCTTGTTTTGGTGTTTTTGAAGTCTCCACACTTCAAAGAGGTAGGGGTTTTCTTACCTTGGTTCATTTTCTACCTTCAGTGTATGTGAAATGTGTAGATTATTAAATAGTATATATATATATATCACTCACCTATGCATGTGAAATGGATAAAATGGGAATGAAAAAGGGAGTAGAAATTGCTTAGGTCAATTTCTAGTTGTGTGTGATATGTGGGAATCACTTGTGAAATCCCTTGAAAATTGAATGTATTAGTAGCATGAGCTATGTATAACATGTGTGTTGTGAATTGTGATTAAATAGAAAATGTTATTTTATGCCTTGAGGAAGTAGGTGTAGAATGAGTTTGATTCAAATCCTACTTTGTTTTGCTATGTGAAAGTATTTGTGTAATTTATTGGATAGAAGTTATGTGTGCTTTAATATGTAGTAAAGCGAGTGTGTTTAACTCATACATCAGTGTATGTATGTGTGTGTTCTTGCTTGTTGGAAACCTAAAGTGAGGAGATTAAAAGAGAAGGAAGAAAAATCAAGTTTTAGCTCACATTTGATATGTGGAAGCTATTAGTGTAAATTCTTAGAAAATTGGGTTTACATGGATTATTTTGTGTATTTTAAAATTTTCCTATAACTGGTTGGATGGAAAAATGGTAGGCATATGGAATCAGGGTGCGTACCGGAGGAGGACTCTCATTTGGGGCCTCAAGGGTGAAGAGGGCCCAACATGTGGCCTTTAACCATGACTGTTTTGTAAACTTTTGTTCAAACTATGTATTGACATGTAATATTTGTAAAGGAATTATAATTTTGAACTTGTATTAACTATGTCTAATGCATAAACTCATGATGTGAAAGAATGGATAATTGGACCCGATGTAATCAATGTTTTCTTATAATTGGACCCGGTGTGGTCAACATTTGTATACGGGACCTCGGATGGGTCATGTGATGGTACGGTTCACAAGTTGTGTTTTGGGTAGAGTTTTCCCATACAAAGGAGACTCTGCCCGATTTTGTTAAATTATGAATCCCGGTAAATGGGACACAACGGTGTGGTATTGAGTTATACGATATCCACAGGCATTTCGCGGGTTGATGGGCGATCAACGGGACCCCTGAATTTTGGGGTGTCACATCTTGGTATCAGAGTATAGGCATACGAATAACCTAAGGCTCGATGGGCACGGGTATAGACCATTGCATTCCATATGCATTTCATGTTATGTACTCTACTTGCTACATGTTATGTGTTACTTGTTATGTGAATTATATGCATGATAGAAATGTATATGGAAGGGAATACACTGGGGTTAGAAAATATAACCTTGGGAGTTTGGGAAAAAAAAAAGAAGGGATGAACGATATAGTTCAATGAGTGAATGTCTACTAAATACTTGATCCTTAACTTGTGATATTAACTAATTGATCTATTGCTATCTTATGTGTGTGTATATGGCAACTAGAGGAAAAAGATGTCGGGATGGACAGAACAACCAACCACCACCACCAGCCTTTGACCAATAAGCCTTCATGGTGGCTATTGGTGCAGTGGCTGCTACTATTGCAAAGCTAGTGCTACGGCCGCTACAATTGCACAGACAGGTGCAAATGGGAGTCAAGGAGGTTCAAGTCACCTCCAGAAGTTCAAGGCACACAATCCTCCGATCTTTCTAGGAGGAGCGGATCCTATGGTGGTTGATCATTGGTTCTGACAAGTGGACAAGATCTTGAGGGCTATGGAGATTATCTCTGATGCCACGAAGATAATGCTAGCTACTTTTCAGCTAGAGGGAGAATCCCAAGTGTGGTGGGATTGGGTCAAGGACTCCAAGAACTTGGAGGTAATGACATGGGCAGAATTCAAGGAGCTCTTTATGAGCAAGTACTTCCCAACGGGCTACTTGACATGCAAAGGCTCGGGAGTTCTTAGACTTGAGACAAGGGATGATGACGGTGATGGAGTACATGACTAAGTTCACAGAGTTAGCCCGTTTCATCGATGACTACTTAGCCATAGATATGACCAAAGTGAGGAAGTTTGAGGATGGTCTTAAGTTGTCCATCCGGGATAAAATTGTGGGTTTTCTTCTGCAAGACTTAGACTCGATGGTCGAGACTGCTATGGCCATTGAGAGAGAGGTGGATGACACAAGGAGCATCCGAGAGTCTTGTGCAAAAGACAAGAAGAAAGAGGGTCAATCCTCTTCTTCTAGAGCGGGGAAGAAACAACAAACCTCTGCTCTGCAAGGATTTCAAGGACAGGGTTGTAGCCATCAGGGGCAAGGCCAAGGTCAGTCTTCCTAGAGTGGAAGAAATCGTAGGCCTTCTTATCAAGCGGG